GCAAGAGACGCACATGTGTGTTGTACTTTTAAAAATCGCACTGTACCTATTATTTCAACCAATTTAGTACTACTGAGCAAATATTAGCTTTTCTTACGAGAGATGCTACCTTTAGTGTCAATCAGAAGAAGTATTTAATTTGTTTTGATAGCAATTGCTAATCATTATCATAGACTTGTACAGCGTTTGGCTTATGAACACATGTCGGCGAGAAAGGGGATTATGATGTTTTTACAGAGGTAAGTGTCTGGTACTCTTCATTGGGAATGGGTATTAAAATACTTCGTATGCACATTGATTGAATTAGATGTAATGTTTTAGAGGTCACTGAAGATTATAATTTCTTCAACTTCCTAATAAATAGGAAACAATATACGAAATTTCAAGGACATACAAAGAATTCAAACACAATAGAATAGTTTGAATTTACTTTTTAGGTATTATTACGTTGTCATGTTTCATATATTGAAACATAATGTATAAAAACAAATAATTATACATCCAGGCTCGAATAGAGTAGACATAATTTAACTTACTAACTTAAAGCTTACTGAATTGTAACTAGTTATTTTCCATGATCTAAAGTTGATAATGTTACCTAATCGAATATAAAGTGATAAGTCGCGCCTTTGCATCGAATATATATACATGTCAATGTTATTACAACAATGAAATCTTTTACTACGTTTGTTATAAAACACAGTAAGTTGGTAATTCAAAAAATTCTCACACATAGACAGAAGTAATATCATAAGTTATTACATGTAAACCATACAAAGGTATTTCAAGCATTTTTGTTAAAGATGTTGAAAGTTTCATGTTGATTTGAATTGTCAGTTTTCTATGCAATTTACATGAGCATTGTGTAAAACATTTGTATTTGATCTCTGTAATTATCAAATCCGGTGTAATTATCACATGTATCAATGAACTCAGTCTCTATTGATCCATCGTCAATAAAAGCTGGATAGTATATCAGTTACGGTATCGATACACATGCATATAATCATTCAATCAGATTACAGTAATGAGATAATTGAACACCTCTTTCGGCCTTGAAATAACAGTCTCCGGTAGAATGCATATGTAGTTACGTCCTTGTTGAAAGGTTTGTCCCGTGACAAGTGTAAAATAAACAGATCAGGACTTCTTTGTACGACTAGACAGTTTCCTGTCATCGCCGAAACTTGCCAGGAAATCAGGTGTGATTAGCACTAATTAGTCTCGGCACAGCGAGTGGACAATCAGCAAGGTGTTCCAGGTGTTGAATAGTGAGGTGGCTCTCGGGCTTAATGAGTTAACAAAATATTTTATCAAAAATATTTTTGAAAGTGAATGAAAATTCATCCCTTTTATCCTTTTAACTGTTGATGACATACTACCTGTAACACTGCAATTCTGATGTTATTGTTTAATTAACTATTGATTTTAAAAAATCAAAATTGCTTCCTAAACATTCAACACAATCCATGTCCTGATGATTGTTTACACTGAGAGTGGTATATTCATGAAGTAGTGTTTGTTGTTTAACATCTCAACATCTGGTATGATCCACCTTCAGACCTTTTTTACACTGAGAGTGGTATATTCATAACGGTTTGTTTGTTGTTTGGCTGGTAATTGCAGTGGTATCTGTCACAGATTTTGTCTCAGCAAAGGTCAGTAATGATGGTCAACAGTGCTCATAGTGTGCAAGAAGCATTCTCAGGAGAAATTTCCTTGACAAAATGGAACAATTGCTCTTTTCAGTCGAGGCCAATATTACCTGTATAAATACAATGTATTTATTATTTACAATTATTATCCAGCATGTTTTGCCAAAGTGTTTTGACTCTTATTATAGAGAGATAATATTTTGTTTCATTTCAGTTCAGATCTTTAGAATTAAATGAAAATCTCTTGGTGATTTTGTTGCTAGCTAACATGTGTAACTGGTAACTGGTCAGGTCATCTAAACATGGATGTCAGGTGCCAGTATTGTAATCTAAGCATGATTCAGTAATCTGTCAGGCCATCTTGACTTAGAGTCAGTAGCTGGTCTGGCCATCAAATCTTAAATGATAGTAGCCAGTCTGGCCATTAAAACCTGGATGATAGTAGCCACTCTGGCTATATAATCATGGATTTCAGTAGTCAATCTGTCCATCTAAGATTTAATTTAAGAGATTTAGAAAACTCTGATTCATTTTCAGGTAAAGCAGATTGACCTTTTAATGAATAATTATATGATCTTAGATATAAATATAAGTTTAAAAATGTATAAAGAGAACAAGAGATGGTATTTTCTCTCTTAAACAGATGAATTATTCACCTACTGATTAGCTTCATGTGGGGCAAGGTGCCACAAGAATGTCTGAGAACATGAATAATTAATGACTAGAGCTGTTTTAGTACAGCACAGTATTACCTGTAACATGCTGAAGCAATAGGCATGGTTGAACTACTATCCCTTGGCCTCGTGTTACAAGGTGATCATGTATACAAGCAGATCAGAACAATTGTTCTAAGTCAGACCATGACAGTACTAGAACTGTGGTTGCTTTGTGAAACATGGCCATAGTAACTAGTTGTGCGTTCCTTGGGGATTATAGGTTAGCTGTAGACCTATTCTGGTCACAACCAAAGGTATTGGGTGGACAGACTTGTGACCTGGGTCCTGTTCCACAAAGCGATCGTAGCGCTAAGATGATCGTAACTCCCATACTTTAACATAGACTTACGACAGTCGTAGTGCTACGATCGCTTTGAGGAATGGGGCCCAGGTAGTTAGGGTGTCCTTGTAACATTGTGGTATGATACTGTGTTGCCTGCTCGATCACCTCATTGACAGGTGCAAAATACATATTTAAAATGAGTAAAAGCTTTGATATTACCCACAGGGTATTTGTTTCTCTTTTGTTTGTAATGTCTTATTTTGATGTTTTACAAATATTAAAGAAGGATGACATTTAAATTTTAGCACATTAAGCTCCTTGAAACTCTATCCCTCTTCCTCGTGAATGGAACAAAGTTATTTATTTGTATTCTCCTTGAAACAATGTCTTTGATCATGTGTATATTCAGGGCAGGTGTTTCCTTCTTTGTGCATTTTTGGTTGACCAGGTGTACAGTATCTCTTTCTCAGACAGGCTTCTTTGAAACCAAGGAGAATACTCTTGGTTTTCAGTCAATAATGTTGAATGACTCATAATATCATGTGGGGCGGTGGGGTAGTCTGGTGGTTAAACAGTTCGCTTCGTCACGACGAAAACCAGGGTTCGATTCCCCACATGAGTACAATGTGTGAAGCCCATTTCTGGTGTCCCCGGCCGTGATATTGCTGGAATATTGCTAAAAAGCGGCGTAAAACCATACTCACTCACTCATAATATCATGTCTTGAGAGCTTAATTTGGTTGGAAATGAAATAGATTTTACAGTTTATCTCTTTTGCTGAACTCGTTCGTGTGAGAATCATAATCACGGCAATTATTGAATCTGAACTCACAACCATCAGATTCTGGTACCTCAGCTGACTGTACACAGCGATTAGTAGGACTCCTGACCAGTGAGCCACCCTGACCTTGAGGACTAATGAGAAAAACTAACAGGTGCTTTATGGCCTAAATGAGAAAGTTGATGGAAAGGCCTTTTAAAACTGGTAATGGAGACATTATTTGTTGAAGTATGGTCATATTTACGTCTCCCATTTCCCTATACCAGCGAACATGGGCTGATGAGAATTTCTGCTGGATCTGACCAAAGATGGCTGTTTCCATCAATATACAGTAGGATGGAGCATGCAAGGAGGCTGGAGAATGTTATATCAGCCATTCCTGTAAATGACTTGTATCCGTTTTCATGCAAGTCAAGAATACAAAAAGTATGTTCACTTTTAAGAAGGATATAAAAAACTGAAAATGTCATTTGAATTACAGGTTTCTCATTTTGGGGTCTGTCCAGAGGGAATTGCTTTTCGACAAAAATACTAAGTGGAGTTTTTGAGGTCATTATTTCAGTAGGCAATAAAACTGGTACAGTTCATGTCAAACAGTTATTACAGAATGAATCATTGGACAAGGACAAATATTAAAATATTTTATATTTCAGCACCATTCTTTGTGAAACTTATGAATTTTACTGGACCTTACAAATACAATTTAGTTATGTACGGGGCTCACCCATTGTTAATGGAGCCTAATGATGTCCAAAATGTTGCTTTTATGTTTAGTTTTGCCAACCAAATTTTGACATGTGAAATCATTACACAAATACAGCACTGTTTAAAGTGGTGTTGAACTCTGTTCATTGCATTCCCAAAGAGTTCCAAGCTGTCTGATATGAAAAACATTCTGCCAGAAGCACTTATCTTAGCTGCTGTTTGATTCTTGTCAGTATGTATGTATTTTAACCAATCATATCAATGATTAGAAACCAGGGATTCAAGTTGTCAAACCTTTATACAGCTGGTGTAACAGGCCAAAGTTTCCCCCTGGCCAGACCTTCCCCGGGGAAACTTTGGCCTAGGATAAACTTTCCCCCCCCTGGGCTTAATCTTCCCCATGGAAAGTTTGTCCTAGGCCAAAGCTTCCCCAGGGATGGTTTAGACCGGGGAAGAAATGGCCTGCTACACTGGTCCTGTGGGCATAAAACCTTGGAACCGAAAATGTTTAAAACTACCAAAGAGTTACAAATAACAGTCTATTTGATTATTTCTTTTCATGAAAAACTACCAGATCACTTGTACATTCAATAGAGAATAGCATCATTCTGAATAAAACACAAATTAGGTTCATATTGATGAATATTTGGTTGATACGTCAACCAAATTTCTCCCTTGGCATAAGACTATTTGTTTGATTCTGGTCTGAACTTCATAGGTTCAAATCCCACTGGCATCAAACTTTTCATCAAAGGAAAGAGAAAAGTTTTTCACAAGGTGAGATAGGGTTTAAGGATCAATTGGCTTGATCAAAGACAGAACAGCTTTGATTTACATATGATTGTTATGTTTCATTACAGAGCTACACTCCGGACCCCTTCAAACTCCGAGAGTTTGTGAGCACCCCTCCACCTGGCAATGAGAGACTGTTCTGTACCATGATTCGCCATGGCGACGAGACATCGGGCGGCCATTACACACTCTACTTGGAGTACCTAGGTGGCCTTGTACCATTACTGAAGGGCAAAAGGGCCAGCAAACTGCGACCAGACTTTGTCATCTTCGACCCTAAAATAAAGACAACAGGGAAAGGTAAGCAAGTTAAATCGCTTTACTTGCCTGAGAACTTTCTTTCTTTTCTAGGAACTCCTTACTTTTCTGATTGGACTTTCATGAAGGACCTCCTCCGTGGTGTAGTGGTTAGAGCGTCCGCCCGGAGAGCGGAAGGTTGCGGGTTCAATCCCAGACCGCGTCATACTCAAAAGACGTTAAAATATGGTACTTGTTGGTCCCTGTCTGGCGCTCGGCATTAATGGGTACAAGAAGGACTGGTCGGCTCGGAGTCAGTATAATGTGTCTGAGTGGGGTATTTCTGCTTCACTGCGGCATGGTATCTCAGTGGGCTAGCACTATAAAACCAGCTTCAGTCTGGGCTAGTACAAGCAGTCGCACATACACATACACACGCATGCACGTCGTCATATGAGCGAAATATTCTCAAGCACGACGTTAAACCCAATTTCACCTCACCTCACCTCACCTTTCATGAAGCAACCTTTATTAAGGTTAATCTTAACTCCCATTCTTTAACATTGTATTAAGGTTACCTTAGTGACTTATGATCACCTGACTGCTTTGTGAAAGGAGGCCCTGATCAACTTACTGACGCATGGTATTATCTGGACAACAAACATTAACAAAGTTATTCATAAAATTGAAAAAAACACCATTTCATGAAATCACATATGCTAGAACATTTCCATTCGTGATTAAATAACAACAAAAAACAAAGATAGTTTATAGTATATTCTAAAATATAAACATTTATACATGACATGACATCACATGTGATCACTCCCCTGTATTAGATCTGAGTTTATGAATAAGTATCATCACAAAATGAAATGCGGTATACTTTTTTGAGAAAATTTCATTAATGTATGACAGGCTGTTACATTTAAGGGACATGTTTTGTAAATAAACTTATCATAGTGTTTGTGATGCTTGTTCTACTGTAATGATACCATAATGATTATTGTGTTTATTGTTTTTTTTTTTTCAGTTTTGTTCAGTTTCAATTTTTAACAAAATTAAAGAAATGAGACCTGGTTCAGTACGTATCCCAATGCTTCTAGTCAATTAGGTCTACTGTCCATTGCCTTCTTATTTGTTCTCATCATTATTTCGAGGTTTCATGCTACCAGACTAGCTTGTATTTAGAAGGCTGGATGTTGCTGTCAAATGTACAGTATATGGTGAAATCCTTCTGTTGACTGACCAAATATACATAAATCTTCTAGAGAAATGCCCTTTTGATTCAGCTTTCAAAGTTTCAAGTTGCTTTGATGTTGGAGATGAAATATAATTGTGATCTTGTGATTGATAACTTCACTTAGGGCTCTGTTCATATGTCAGTGAGTTGTTTTATTGTTATATTAACAAAAATCCTAAGGCATGATACAAGATCACAGAATGAATAGGATTTACTAATATGGATGTTTTGTTGTATCCTATCTGTTCATGCAGAAATAGTTACAGATTTAATCTCAGAAATATGATAGTTTGTTTCTGTTTTGACAGTGTATTCCAGTCTTTGTAGGAAATTTAATCATTTTAATTTTTTAGGAATCCAATATCGACTAACAGCAGTATTTTGCTGTTAAATACAGTTATTCGTTTCAGCATTATAGGATATTACTAGTTGTCCTTAGGGCAAGCTCAACAAAGTAATATCGAAACCAAAATCTGAAAGCAATGGAATTTGACACTGATTGATTAGATTATTCTCTCAAAACATGGAGAAACAAAAACTCCTCTTCACAAATCGTTCCAAATTGATATTTGATACAGGAAGTTAGCTTCGAATGAGCTTGATTTGTCAAGAAATCTCGCCAACACTGAAGTGTTGTGTAGATGACAACAAGCCATGTTGAAAGTCTGTATGCTCTTGTCATCTTGTGTAGAAGTTGAGATTATTGATGTCAATCTAATGATCAGTCTGAATTAGGGGATCTTGGTTATTCCATGTCTTGTAAGACTGTCACTGTATTCTGCGTGAGGCTATGCCAAGGCAGATAATTTCTTTGAGTGGCATTTTAGAAGTTGGATGTACAATGTAGACAAATGTTAAAGATAAATTTTCTTTATTTCATGAGTGGGATGTTTTGATACAGGTTCTTTTATGGTTGTCAAGCAGGAACAGTACAAGAATCTGTATCAAAACGTCACACTGACGAAATAATTAACTTGTTATCCATAAACTTTGTCTATCAAAGGCAGATCATGATGCAAGAATTCTTCATTTAGGAAGGGGTACAGGTGCCCTGGGATTCTAAGGTACCGCATTGCGCTATGCAGCGTTGCATCCCCTTGCACACCAGAAACATATGGCTGTGGGTTGAAAATACCACTTTACCCTTAGTAATGTTCCAGGTCTGTCAACCTGTGGATTTACCAAAGAGGTAACTGTCCATGACTATTCCCAACTTACTTATATTCTAAGCAAATTTTGTTCTAATTACTCTTAGTCATGGTTTAAATTGGTCACCTGTGACAAATCTGTATTCCATGAGGTCTTACAAACTCTTCCAAGGGACTTAACAGAAACTCTTTATGAAATGTTCCAATCAACAAATTGTCCACAGTTTGCTTCTTTTGTTGTTTTTGTCAGTGACGTCTTGCAGACTAATTGTTGAACTGATGCTTGACTTCCTAAATTGTTCCGCATCTGTAAAAATACTGAAAAGACCCTTACCGAATAATGATAACAGCCTGTGTTCATTGTGTAGGTGTAACAATGCAATACAAACACCCAATCATTGCGGCATGCGATTCCTTACTCTTCTTTCTGAGATGCTTGGCTGAAAGATCAAAGGCATCAACGCCCTTTGTGTTACGTCATAATGGGCTGACATCACAATGCTGGTCAAATTACCTATCCCTGAAGATCAAAGCCCAAAGGCTTCAGTTTCCTTAACTTTAACAGTAATACTTCAGGCCACCTTATGTTAAGCTGTGTGTTACAACACTTCACATTAAGTAAGAGAAAACTTCTAAAGTGGTCTTGCGACATTGGCATTGGATTGATAGACACAGTTGTGTTAATTTGTGTCTGTGATTGTGGATAAGTGTTGATGACAGCTGTTCCAGTTAATCTTGTGATAACTTTTTATGCAATGAGTATTAAAGATAATATAAACTACTTGAAACAAGAATGATGACGTTTTTATGGATATACAACTTCTTTTATTCTGTGAAGGGCGACGTTTCGACATAGATTCTAATGTCATTGTCAAGTTAGAATCTATGCCGAAATGTCGCCCTTCACAGAATAAAAGAAGTTGTATATCCATAAAAATTGTCATCATTCTTCATCAACTTCTAAAATGCCCATCAAAGAAGTCATACTTGAAACAAATTTAAAAAACTTGATTGTTTCCTGTGACTATGGTGTAATGTGTAATGCCATCACAGATTAATTGTAATGAAATAAAGAATAATTTGTTTTCAACTTCTTTTCAGCAAAATATGGCCATCTGAGCTGAGTGGCCTCATAACTCCTTTATCCAGGGCAACATTTATTTCTATAGTTCCAGAGGTGGAAATAACTTTAAAATTGCTGGCGTACTCCGGTACAGTGGCACATGTAAAATCACTTGCCCTGATCATTTTTCCACTATACTGGCCGTTTTCTTGTTGATTTTTTAAATAAACAACATAATTAACATTGGAATATCAACTGGACACCGGTACAGTGTCATATACAAATTTGCTTGCCCGACAGAAAAAAACACTGACCTCGGGCATCGGGCAATGGGTTATTTCCACCCCTGAGTTCTTAAACAGTAGGGGCAGTGTTGTAGCCTATAGCTAGCGGTTAAAGTGTAGGCTGAAGACCTGGGTTCGATTCCCCACATGGGTACAATGTGTGAAGCCCATTTCTGGTGTCCTCCACCATGATATTGTTGAAGTATTACTAAAGGCGGTGTAAAACCCCACTCACTTACTCACTCACAGTAGGCACCCTTCATGGGAGTGATTTAAGTTTTACGCCACTTTTAGCAATATTCCAGCAATATCACGGCGGGGGACACCAGAAATGGGCTTCACACATTGTGCCCATGTAGGGACATCCTTACAGGTGTGTGTAGAGTAGAATTCAGTATGGACATAAATTCAGGCAACAGTTGACTCTAATACAAGCATAATTTAATTGCATGCACAGACCATACTGGTCTTAATGGACCATGTCACTTATAAATATCTCATGCAGCTTTATTGGAAATGTAAGAAAAAAACCCCAATTGTTGTGGAATCACTGGAACAGAAGAATGATACTGTCAGCATGCCTTGTCCAATTTAAATTATTCCACTGAGAATCATTTTCAGGTTTGCCTATTGATTTTCTTCTTGAAAGAGTTGACCATATCATTAAACTGCAATTTGGAAGTGGAATTTTATTCCCTTTTTGGTCCATTTAGGAAATTATGTTTTTGATGCCAGCAGGTATCTGAGCTAGGAGTGTGCTGTGGTCAATCAGATAAAATTTCAGTTTCAATTAAGTGCATTGCAATCGATAAGATGGTGTGCCATCGGTAAGAGTTAGATTGCACCCAATGGATAATAAAAGGTTATCTTGTTATTGTTGATTGTGCAAATGTTGTTTATTTTTTTAATATTTGATAGCTGGTTGTTATTTCCTGGTAAGAACATAGATTTGGATGGAAACAAGTCATTGCATGCAAAAACACATAGAATAAAGTGATTATCAGATGAATGTCAGTGTTGGGGAGGGATGTTTTTACAGCCATCTTGGCGCCCTATATCTCCCAACAGTGGAATACGTTTTTGGACCGAGCGCTGTTACCTTGAAGTACCATAAATCCTTGATCAGAGGCAGAGTATTGAATACATGCAGTTTCCAGTAGAAGCTGTGGTTAGTAGAAGCTTTAGTGAAAGTAATAAGGATGGACCAAGAATAGATCTTGGCGTCCAATAATTACGATGATACAATAAGGCAAACAATAGTTCATGGCATGGTTGTCGGCATTGAAAACCCACAGGACCAGTGGTGTACCTGTTCCCATCATTGA